GTACATATGTAGAGATTTAGGCAGCGATACCCTCTTTGCTTACACTACGAGTCGGCTTGTGATATCTCAAAGATTCAATACTGCGGTGCAAGTGGCGGTAGCACCCGACACGTCGCTGCTGACTAGCGCCGTCGGTTCCCCAGGTCTCCAGGAAGTGTGAAGACGTGTACGAAGAGATGCTTCAAGGGTGGCGGCAAGTTGGAAGGGTGCCGCATGTGCCCTGTCGCGTACTTGGTTTGGTGCATGCCCATGTGCCGACTGAAAGAGACAATACCCAAGTAGGCTTGGAAGTGCAGGCCTGTTCGTCTTGATAGTACCAGTCACCTGCGTAGTCGGAGAAAGTGTATGACATGCTGCGCAGATTCTTTCGGGGCCCCGCGTTACTTGTTCCCTCACCGTTGAGCGGTATTCCAAGCTTGTTGTTCATTGTTTACGCTTTGCTGCCAAACACAACGCGGGGTCGCTAGTTTTTAGGAGGCCAGCACCTCATCGTCATTGCTTAGGCCAGAGCTCACACAAGCCCGCGCCCCAAGCACCAAGACAGCCGTCACCGGTACCTCGCTGTCTGCTCCTAACCGCTGCCCTCGTCATCTTTTGCTGGTTATATCTCCCTCTTTTCTACCTACCCGCGACCAATATACAAGATGCCGCATCTACCTATAGTTTCCAAACATCGTAGGACCTCTCTGACAAGTGCGTCATACCCTGGCTCCCGGCTACACCGGGTACCTTTCAAGAGATGAATATATTGGACTGAGGCTGATACGTAATCGTGTACCCAGGTAGCCGCGCTTCCTCAATAGACGAGACGCGCCGACACGATGGGGGTGACGAGGTCACCAAAGAAGACGAGACCGTCATGGATTCGGAGCAAGGCAACAGTAAGTCTTGCCGTGACAGTCAGATAATGGGCAAAGAAAAGCCTGGCTAACCCGCTGTCTTCAGTGCTCTCCCATATCATATCGCAACTACGACCTGGTGCCGATCTAAGCCGGGTGACGCTGCCTACATTCATTCTCGAACCGCGGTCGATGCTGGAACGAATAACAAAGTGGGTCAAGTCGTTAGCTGAGTACGGGCAAAATATGCTGACTGCCAGCCCAGTTTCATGGCACATCCCGAGACGCTTCTTCCCATTACAGAGGTGCAGGACCCTGTGCAACGATTTGTAGCCGTGACAAAGTTCTACCTCAGTGGATGGCACATTAAGCCCCCGTATGCATACCCACCATCTTCGCTCGCCCATATGCAACAGCTGATGTGAGTCTAGTGGAGTCAAAAAGCCGCTGAACCCTATACTCGGTGAGATCTTCACGGGCTATTGGGACTACTCCGATGGCACCAAAGGATACTACATTGCCGAGCAGACGTCACATCACCCACCCAAGTCGAGCTACTTTTTCATGGCACCCGAACACCACATCCGTATCGACGGCACACTCAAGCCTCGGAGCAAGTTTCTGGGCAATTCCGCTGCAAGTATGATGGAGGGTATTGCCGTTTTGCGACTTTTAAATACCGGTGAACGATTGTAAGTAACGCGCACTAATTGGACAACTGGAAAACTCACAATATTACAGTTTCGTTACACAACCCAACATGTACGCACGGGGAATTCTTTTCGGAACAATGAAGTACGAACTCGGCGACCACGCTTACATCAAGTGCCCCGAGACAGGCCTCAGTGCCGACCTCGAATTCAAGACCAAGGGTTACTTCAGTGGGACGTACAATGCCATCGGGGGTTACATCAAGGATGCCAATGGCAAGAATTTATACGAGCTATCTGGTCAATGGAATGAGGAGATGTACATCAAGGATCTGACGGTAAGTTTACTATATGGCAAAGTTGAAGAAGTTTACTCATCATCATAGACTGGCAAGAAAGAACTCCTATTCGACGCGGCGCATACCAAGCACACACCTCCAATGGCCCGACCCTTGGAAGAACAAGATGAGCGGGAATCACAGAGGCTTTGGCGTGATGTGACAGAAGCTGTAAAGCGGAGAGACCAGGACGTAGCCACAGATGCGAAAGCCAAGATAGAAGACATGCAGCGGCAAGAGGCCGCAAAACGAAACAGCGAAGGCGTTGATTGGCATCCCCAGCTCTTCAGACGCGTCAAGGGTGGCCAAGGCGGAAGCGAGGAAGGCGAAGAAGATCTTGACTGGATCATCAATGCGAAAGTGTCAGTGGATATCTATAACTCACATGGGTTTTACTGACCGATTATAGCGACGGAAAGACCCCCGAAGAGGTTGTGAAGCAAATCTTGCAGATTTACGCCATCCTGCCAGGGCAGAAGCCAGACAGACAGTTCAGCATTCCTTCGCGGACAAACGAAGTCCAGCATGCACAGACAGATGGAGCTACCCAACCGACCGAACAGTCAGTGCAGCCGGTGGAAGACATACCGTCCACACAATCTGAGACTACAAGCGTGCAGTCACAGCCCGCAGTCATGTCACAGCAGCAGCAGAGCGTAGGTCTCCCCACAAACTTCGACGGAACATCGACTCATGCCCCGCTTTCCAAACACAGCAGTCAACCGAACGACCCCAGTAACCCGTCTACGGTACCTTCCCAACAGGCCCACTCTGTACCAGATATCTCGCCTGAGAATCAGGGAAAGTTCGCGAAAGAACTGCCACCTAGCAAACTGCTAAATTCGAATCCTGCGCGAGAGCCCCGAAGAAATGATCTTCTGCGGAGGTTAGACAGTCAGACACAGGAGGAGGATAAATTTCATGACGCACATTCGTGAGTTATCTCCGGAAGGCGATGCCTACTATACCGGTGTCCAGAATTCGCTTTTGAATTTGAGGCTCATCCATCCTATTAATAGAGTTGTCGGGGTGACAAAATCGGAAAGGCGTTGCGGCATTAGAGGATGCTTTTCATCATGCATCCCGTTCTACAAGCACTGAAATCTTTGCGTCTTAGTTCTTTCCTCTTTCTCGACCCTTGGCTTCTTCTGTCCCTGCTCAAACTGATTTGCAGCTGGCGGCATGCAGGGCCTGGATTGATAGACCGTGCTTTGGATGCGTCTGTGACATTTAAGTGGATACAATACCGTTTCTGCATACAATTTGTATACCTTATACCCCTTTGCTTTTCCTGAGCAATAACGGAATGTTGGTCACTGTCACGTTCGCCATACTTGATGTGACTCTCCTGTTTATTCCATCGTCTGCCAGGGCAGAATATTGCTTTTTGACGGGCCTGTCTAGAACGCCCTCTACTAGACGCCTCCGCGGAGCTAAGGTTGAGGTTGTTTGCCGTTGTGGATCTTGACGACTAATGACATCATTTTCACCGTGCACTCCTTAATCGTCCAATTGCCCAACACAGGTTTTGATATCTAGTCGCGGATGATCGCGGTACATGGTGATGGTTACATTTCTGGTTAAATACCTCAAATAAATACTTCTTGTCTGTACACCATGCGCTCCTCATCGCCATGGTTGCGACTTGGCGATCCAAACGACAACGATAACTACAGCGGAAGCGAAAACGAGAATAACGACAACAGCGAGGAAGATATGCCAGACGCAATTGACGAATTGCGAAATCCACGGCAGGCCAAAGATGATTTTTACCAGTATTTGAAAGAAGAGGTGTTTAAGTTGAACTTTTACCGGGCGCATATGTTGTACTTCGTTGTCGTTATTGGGATTTCTTCGGTTATTGTTTATGGACAGGGTCTTGCTAATGGGCCTGAGGAAGTTGGTGGGGCGCATTTGACGTTTACAAATGCGTTGTTTTTGTGTTGTAGTGCTATGACTACTACTGGTATGTTTTGATCTGGTTGGTATATGGGAAGATTGACGTGTACTGATATTGGTAGGACTTAATCCGGTTAACCTGGTGAGTATGCTGAACTCTATAAATGAGGGTTCATATGTTCATATCCCTGATTCTTTGAATGCGGTCTGATGTTAGGAATTTAGGGAGATCTATCTGGATTCCAGCAAGCGACTTTTGCTGTGCTTATGATTATTGGGAATATACCGTTTGTCTCGACTGCTGTGGTGTTGATTAGGAGAGCGCTGTTTCGAAGAAAGATGGCGGATGTCGTGAAGCATTCACATACGATGCGACGGCTGGTGCAAGATGTTGAAGAGAATGGGCAGACGAATCATGAGCATGATGGTAGTGGTGCTGCAAACTTGCGCCAACGAACGAACGCAGAAGGTAATAAACAGACTACCGGTAAACAAGCGCGGAGTAATAAATCATCTGAAGTGGCGATAAAGCCCGTACCACAACGACGTACGTACCACTACGAGACTGGCTTTGGATTCATCCCAACGCCTTGGGAGACGAAACTCGCTCGGGGTTTCTTCGGTGGGATCATCAATAGATTGGTAGGAGAGCTAAAACCAGAGCATCACGATTACGTCTCCTTCAAACCGCACCTCGACTCCAAAGGCCGTTTTCGGGACCTCAGCGAGGAAGAACGTATGGAACTTGGGGGTGTGGAATACCGCGCTTTACAAGCTCTCCTGTTGATTCTCGTCGGCTACCAAATCTTCTGGTATCTGGTGGGTTTTACTTTCTTCCTACCATATGCGTACCGTGGAAATATCAAAGGTGTACTGTACGAATTACAGCCCGGTGGCATCAACCCGGAGTGGTGGGGAGTCTTTGCAACTATCACTGAATTTGCGAATGGTGGACTTAACGTTTTGAACGCCAATTTCGTTCCCTTTAGCGGATACCCATACATCCTTCTCGTCGCGGGCGTCCTCGCTTTCGCCGGTCAAACGCAGTTTCCAATCCTTCTCCGTATTACAATATGGGCCATGCAGAAGATGGCACCGAAGGGATCGCGGTTCAAGAATACCATGGGATTTCTGTTACAACACCCACGACGTTGCTTCATATACCTCTTCGGCAGTCGGGAGACACTGTATCTCTTCGCCACACAAACCGTCATCGATATCACAGCCTGGCTCTGTTTCGAGATTCTCAACATAGGTATGCCAGATATTGAGGCTTTACCCACCGGAACACGTATCCTAGATGGCTTATTTCAGGCGACTGGACTGCGAACGAGTGGAGCATATGCAGTCACCATCAGCTCCCTTGCACCCGCCTGTCTAGTCGCATACCTGGTAATCATGTACGCCCCCCCCATCAACGCCACCACCCCTCCAAAAAAACCAAAAAAAAAACACATGACAGATACTCATACCGACCCATAGGTACATATCCATCTACCCTATGACCCTCACCCTCCGTAAAACAAACACCTACGAAGAACAGTCTATCGGCCTAGACCAACATTCCCGCAACGCCGCCGGCATATCCTCGCATCTTCAACGCCAACTCGCCTACGACATCTGGTTCCAGTTTCTCGTCTTCTTCCTCATCTGCACCATCGAGCGGGGCCGTATTCTCCGCGCCGACCCCGGTTTCACCATCTTCTCCATCTTGTTCGAAGTCACATCTGCTTATGGCACTGTAGGCTTGAGTATGGGTGTTCCCGGCAAGGATTATAGTTTGTGTGGCGATTTTGCAGGTTTGAGTAAGGTGGTACTGTTGTTTGCTATGGTGAGGGGACGCCATCGCGGTTTGCCGCTGGCTATTGATAGGAGTATTTTGTTGCCCGGGGAGGAGTTAATGCGTAGGATGGATTGGGAGTTTAGTGCGAAGGGAGTGGAGGATCCCGGGGAGGAGAGGGAGTTGCGAGGGGATATTGAGGGAAGTGGGGTTAAGAAGGGGTGGGGGAAGGGGGAACAAGATCCTGAGGATGAGAGAGGGACGAAGTCTGGTAGTAATAGTGGGCAGCAGGATGAAGGGGTTGTAGCAGAACTTAGTTCGTGAGTATCGTCGTAATTTCTTGAGATTGTTGACTCCAATATATATATCAAGTCACGAAAGCTACCACTTCCAAGCCAAATTCGAAGGCATCTAGGTGCTACGGAAACATCTCAAAAAATACACACCAATTTGACTTCGTGCACTTCCAGATTCCTTTCAGACCAAAAGGTCCGCCACGAATTGCACATGGAGATTGCATTGCCCCTATACTTCCTGTGTCGTTTTGGGATCCGGTGCAGCGGTACTGTAAAACCGCAACAGCGGATATTTCTAAACTCCAATGTTTTCTCGCATACACCACGAAGCTCCCGTGTCACAGAAGATGAGATAACAAACAACATTCTCTGGGCGTCCGCCAGTGCAAACAGTCCACGAAAGTTGTGGCAAAGACTATCTCAAATCCCAGGTCATATCCGCCGGGCAATTACTACACTGAAGACCCTTAATTTTGAGATCATACACCTACAGATTTATTACGCCTCGTGCGTCATCATCCGCCATTGTCACATGACGTGACGACAATGCATAGTGAACACGAACACAAATCACACACGCCCAACAACCCTGCCATTCCATCCAAACCCAAGCTTCTAGAAACAACACAACGCCTCAGGCTTGCATAACACACCTTGCAACAATCGGTGCATCCCATATCCGACCCAAAGCCTCGGCACCACGTCTTGGCCGCCGCATGATCATCAGACCTACGGCCTTCCTTCCAAATACTTCAAACCCAACATCACACATTCGCAAATACACAAGCCCATTTCCAAACCAGCGTAATCCGGATATGACCGAGCCCATAACTCAGTCACTGGGAAACCCAACTTCACGTTCACAATCTCCGTTCGGATCCGGGTTGCGTGCTGGTTGGTTGGGGTTTGCATGCATGAGCGAAGAAAAGAAGACTTGCAAGGAACACATAATTGGAAAAGAAACGACACGGAAGACTAATTCCTTCCACCATCCATCAGCCCTACAGGAGAGGCCCTGGTTTGGGTGACATACCTAGGGCATGCAAAAGATGTGTATGTGCGCGATGCGACCGCCCGTCTGCAGCACAGCAAAGCCACACTTTATGCGCCTTGAAACTAAGGCGCCCACAGATCCCCGCTAGGTCTCAACCCCGGCTCGCATAAACATTGCCCACAATACCCTGGCTGACCATGTCCACATTCACGAATGGAAAGGAAGGGAAAGGTAAGGGTCGGTGACGCTACTGGTGTTGTTGTCGGAGGGTCCATCTGTTTTGAGATGTGGGTTTGTGCGCGAATTCTACCGAGGCAGTGGTTATTGACGATTGACTTGTTCGCCGTCGCCGCCGCTGGTGGGTATATTGTGCATTGTTAGGGTTACGGCTTTCGTCATGATTCTGGCAAGCATGGGTGGCGGACGGAGGAGCAGGAAGACATGGCATTGGATACTTGTGCGAAGAGGATGGAAATTAGTATCCCGAGACTGATATTGTGGCGGCCTTGTACGCTTTCGAGCAAAGATCATCGGTCGGAGGACGGAGTAGACGAGGCGTCTGGTAAGTAAGTATGCAGGAACCGCGGGAGATGCACATACGTGCATGCTAATAGTGTTAATGATTGACACCCCTCCTCCGCTACCCTACCTCGCTTCCCGCGGACGGACATGACGACCAGGTTCGGGGAAATTTTAAGAATAGAAGCACTGAGAGAGAGTGAAGATGATGGGGTAGGTATGCCGTTCTGCAAACGACAAGGGGCGGCGGGGAAGCTGAATTGAGAGAATTGTGTGCATGCCACCACGCTGGTATGTCATTCTTACCTTCCCCGGCGACCTGACCACTCCGTATTCGGAACTCGGACGGATAATGCAAGGCAGACATTCCATACTGCCAGCACTGCCAACACATACGTAGTATAACCCTAGAGTGCCGAATACGACCACCAAACCCTTGTATACAATGCATACAATCCACAAACCAATACTTCCATTCGGACCAACTCTCGCTCGTCCACCAACGCACACGCAACCCTTCCTTTTTCCCTCCACACGGCACAATTCTCGCTCTACCTACTTCCTCGCCCCATACTAACGATGACCTAAACCCTCCAGTCCCCCACTTCGACCACTTCCTCAACCATCGTCACGATGCCCACCACCCTGTGCCCTAAAAAAGTAACAACAACACGTTCCTCCATGCATCCCCCACTTTC